GATAACTTAATATTAGAGAAGAATATGAGAGTGATAGTAGTGAAGAATACAATTAGGAGGTGGTGTAGATTGGTCTCCAGGCATATCAAATTTTTTTTTATGTTTTTTTTAGTTTAAAAAAAAAAAAAATAAGTGATGCATTTCGAAAATAAGTCGGAAAAATAAAAATAAGCTTCTCTGATTTTACTTTTGAAACCTCCTAATGATTCAAAAAATTATAAATGATATAAAGAAATTGAAGTGCGCAAGTGTCTTCCAAGAACATGAAACGGACGAAAAAAAAAAATACAGTTTCTTGCTTAAGTAATTGATTGTATTGAATACGCCTTTTTTTAAAAATAATAGGACCAGGAAATAAAAGTCACTTATGCATTCCTGTAAAAAATAAGACTCCCAATAATATATTAATAAGATAGAAAATTAATAATTTGGATTTCGCACAATTCTTTTTTTTTTTTTGATAAAAAAAATTCCTTGGAATTTTTTTCGAATGCATTTATTATTCTTTACTTGGTTGATTATGTATCCGATATTAACCGTTTAAATTTTGCAACAGTAATCATATTTTAAATGCCGATTGCGTAACTGATCTTGGTGGCTATGCTAAATTAGTGAAAATTAAATAGGCCACACGTTAATAAAATTAGCTTTTTTTGATAAATGTCTACCGGTAAACGATTATGTAAATAAGTTTATACGTTTAAAAAATAGGATTTATGATTCATATGCTTTGACGTAAATACATCACTTATTTTATTTAAATCGGATGCCGAATCATGATAAATTTTTATAAATACAAAATCTAGATAGTTGGTTAATTCTAGTTTAGACTAGTTGCTTAAAAACATTCTTTATTATTCACGTGGTTAATTCGAAGTTAATTAGGTTAATTCGAGGTTCATAAGATTGTAAATGGCCATTATATATTATCGTCCTAGGTTATACAGTATATACTATTATTAGCTAGTTTTAAATCGAGAAAAAAAAACGTAATATTATGAAAATTAACTATTTTATAATGAAATAGTAATATGATTATTTTGTATAAGCGATCGAAAAAAAAACGGGAAAGTAAAATGGACACTTGGATTATCTTGTCAGAAGAAATGTCGAAATATATAATAAATTCATAATTGCTTCATGAAATGAGTGATGGTTTGCAAACCTCATATACATAAGTGTAATAGAGTCAGCTTAATTAAAAAAAATGCATATTTTGACCCACATATAAATATTCGTATGTTTGCAGCATAAGGAACATGGAGAGGAAATGGCATAAAGATTATCGAAAATTAAATCCTAATTAGGATAGGTGTTGTCTTGGTATGGGTGAAGAATCGAATTAATTTCTTCACTCTGTGGAAGCTGTAGTTGTGTATTAATGATATAGTGATTATCATCATCTTTAGGAAAAATTGATGGTAGAACTCTGTGAGCTGGATATTCAAAGTGGTCATAATTCCAAGGAAATGACATATCTAAATGCTCCATTGTAATATATTCAGATGAGATTGCACATATATTGTCATTGGTTTGCGCTCCTGGCAACATATTTCGAAATTGATTCGAATCTGTGGCCTCCATTTTATGGTCGGAAAAAATTTTCATATTAGGGTAATAACAGTATTCTGGATATGCTAGCATATAATCATTTGGTTTGTTATTTGTTACATTTTGCCAACAAATTTCGGAATCCTCCGGCTCTTTTTGCAAAAGATCCGATGGAATACTTGTTATCTCTGTATCTGAAACTTTACTGTAATGACGTTGCTTTGTTCGTTTACATAAAAGTAAAGAATTTGGAGGTTGATGAATTCTTTTTTTTTGCCGTAAAGGTACCTTTATGACTTGTTGATTTTTTGTTGGTTTACTTTTAGAAGGCTGCGGATTAACTCTCATTGGTTCCAAGAATGATGTAAAGATAAATTTATCTTGAGTACGAATACTGCTATTCTCCAAAGATGTAGTAGAATCAATAGTCAGCTGGGATGCTGACTTCCTATTTGACTTAGAAAATGAAGGTGTAGGGACATCAAACATTAAGAGGCCACAGTATTTTTTTCGGGCATTCTCATCCATTATTTCTTATGATGCCGCAATGAAATGCCATCCATCTTTTTATAACAATGCTTTCTGACATGTACACGTGATGACTTTTCCAGGTTGAAATTAAAAGTTGCTTATATTCGGTCTATTCTATCTGATTTTATTGACTTTATTAATTAATAAATTAAATCATAATACCCTTAGCCAGGTTTTCGGATGCTTTCAATCAGTTATATATATGGTATCAATTCTATCAGTACAATTCTATCAGTATATATGGTATCAATTCTATCAGTATTAAACCAAATTCATAAAGATAATCTTACTTAATTGTTTACTTATTTGGAAAGTTAAAACTGCACTTATGCATTATCTTTGTCTTCGCCTGCAAGGGACTTCAGTAAAATGGGGAATGCGTTATATATCGCATGATAATTTTTGAACTTTTCATAACAACCTTCTTTATCACAAGGCTTAAGTAGTGCATTAATATAGTACAGTCGTACTCCTCTATAATCACTCAGGTTGTTCTGTGCAAAAAAATGTGATTATAAAAATTCTATTATGATGTGCTTATATAGAAGTATATTTTTATAATTTATTAATGAATTTTTTTCAAAATTTAAGGTAATTACAGTCAACCCCCTCTATAGTCACCTCCTCTATAGTCACAAAATTAGTATGATTACAATTTTATTTTTACCAATTACAGTCAACTCTCTCTATAGTCACACCTTTGGGATACAAAAAAACGTGATTATAAAGAGGTGTGACTAATATAGAGGTATTTTTTAT